GTTGGGGGAAAATAGCGGAGGGATGGTGGGGGGTGGGGAGCTGGGGAGAGATAGCAAGGGGAGAAATGCCAGATGTAGGTGATGGGGAGGAAGGCAGCAAATCACACTGCCACATGTGTACCTATGCAACAATTTTGCATGTTCTTCACATGTACCCCCAAACCTAAAATGCAATAAAATAAATAAATAGGGGAAAAAAAAAGAATTTATAACTAAAACATTCATTTAAAAAATCATCCAATAACTTATTATTTTATAAACTCAAAATACCTTATAGACAGCATCTATAAAGCGCAAGTCATTCTTTGCTATCAGCTCTACATTGGATTCCATTATAAGTTCTGTTACACACGGTGAGTAAGAGGTAAAAGAATAGCTGATGATGGGCAAAGATGCTGCTGTGTCTCCCTTTATCAAACTGTTAGGGAAAATAAGAAACATATTTTAATACGCACTTAGTAAGCATAACTCCACAAAGGTGGATAATCAAGAAAATATAAGAAATGTTTATAATAATTTAAAACAACATTATAGCCACAATAATTAGGTGATATATGAGACCGTCTAGATTCCATTCCCCATTCTAAACCACTCTAGCTGGACTACTAGGAAATACCACTGTTCATCTGATGGAAAAACTTACTATTGCTCTCTAGTACCAATTATTTACCATTGCTTTTCCAAAGCTTAGTTACACTATCTCCTTTGCTCTCTATCGCAAACTTGCAAAGGTAAATATTATGAATTCTAAGTTACAGATGAGGAAGACAGGGCGGGAGAAAGCATGCACTGTGACTTAGCTGAGCAGTCTATTACTTTTCACTTACTGCTTATTCCAAATCTGTACATCATTACCTATGCTAATTTCTCCAATCTAGAAAGTTATCCCACTCTTCTTTGCTTATCCAATTGTTATTTATTCTTTATGAATCATTCATCAAATCTCAAGCCTCCCATGACGCTTTCCTCAACTTTCTGATCTATACTGATCCCTCCAAAAAAGACTCCCAGGCTGCTGAGTATCTGTTGTCTCATCATCTGTCTGGTAGTGTTTCCTGTCTTCTTATTTTCTCAATGTCAAGTACCTTCACTGATTTTCCCACAACAAAGCGCAGGGGATATTTGTTCAATTTGCCAGTTAGATGTGTTCAATGTAAGTATTTGTACTTATATAAAGCACAAATGTTTTCCAAAAAATTCAAGATGTTCACATAAATATCCCCATCCCCACTCAAATTTTTAATAAGACAGAGAACAAATACATGATAACACTGCATTTTGCTTTTCTGGACAAATATGAATTGTTTCTTTTATGTTTCTTTAAAAGTACTATAACATTTCACCCAATTAGAAAACTGCTCTGGCAACCTTGTCTACCTGAAACACAGTCCAAAAACAGGAAATGAAAAGAAAATGCCTTTTTACAGCAAACTCTGTCCATTTTATGCACGTTATACATAGATGACAGCCAGGCCCATATTTAACACTTCTTTTGTCAAACAATCTCAAAAACCCTGGTTATTTAGTTTCTAAAGACTTAGCATATTGAAACAGTAAGAAAAACAGACATTACAAACTGGCATACCAAGACAAAAAAAGCAGCAAATGGCCAGAAAACATTAAAAATGTGAAAAAACAGAAAAAAGAATCAAAATGAGGGGGTTATTGTGTGTGTGGCAGGGAGACTAGCAATCTGAGTGTCTCTGGGGAAGAAGCAGCTAGCATTACAAATCTCAATAGACCCTGTAGTTTTAAGTACGTTTTACAATAATGTAAAAATTATTGTCCTTAACAATGCTCTTGATAAGAAAACTAGATGTTTAAACATTGTGTTTAGAAAACAAGAGATATTGGTATATTTTAGAATTATTCCTGTATAAAATGTCTTTTAAAATGTTGATGCTTAAAGTGGCAATGAGAAAACTTGACTACTCAAACTGGTTAAAGCCCTGGAAGTTCTGGATGGTCAAAATTTTCATGTTTTGAGGAATCTAGATGATTCTTACATGCATGGATTCTATCTGTTTCATATCTTCTGCCTTTCACATATCATGCCTGTAATAACAGCAATTAGAGTTAAACTTTCTCCTTATTCCCCCTCTCTATTGTTTCACTAGCAGCCCTCTCTTAATTTACCTCTCCCTGGTATAACCTCAAGAGTTATCAGAAAATCCATTCTTACATGGATATCCATTCTTATATGTAAAGCCCATTACTCAAGGATTCTACTTAGTAGCTGGTTTAACCAAGTTTCACTCTACTCTTGAACATCTAACTTGGACTTCTCCCTGGACACTCATTCATCCAATAAACGTCTAATCAACTCTAATATGTGCCATGCATAATTCTTGATGGGGGGATTTCATAGTGAAAAAAAAAAAAAAACAACAACAACAACAAAGTCCAAGACTTCAGCTTACATTGTAGTAAGCTGAAGGGAAACATTTAAGCAATCCATCAATTAATCAATGATAAAAGGTTAAGGGTAAGTGTTACAAAGAAACAGAAGTATAAAAGGATAGAGAATGACTGCAGTACCATATTAGGTTGGCATGAATATAGGATAATGTACGTTGCCATATTCTAAAAACGTTAACTCACAGTAACTCACAGTTGAAAAACAAGCTAAAGTGAAAGGTTTAAAGTGGGGTCTGTTAAATGGGATAGCTTAATAGCAATCTTCAGGTTGCCACAGAAAAAAATCTACTAACTAGAGTCTTCCATATGAAAAAGAACACTTGGCTTAAATATATAAAGCCTTTCCTCCATAAGAGAATAAACAAATGACAAGAAAATACTGACAAGAAATGGCAATGATCTCTTCTTATTCTGGATATATTTAACTGTAAGAAATACCATACAACTAAATATGAGAGAATGGTAGATTATACAGTTAACGAAATCTATTATATTTCTATGAGTTTAAAAGTTGTACAAAGATTATACCTTATACAGATAAATATCATGCTTCTAAACAGTTTCAAATCTTTTAAGTTGGGATTCTTCATTACTTCATACTTAGAAATAAACTCCTATAATTCCCTGCTTTCTCAAATATTTTAATCATTTCAAGGCAGATTTAAATAGGATCCAGATAAAATCTTATTTTTCTTAGGTAGTTTCCCATGTTAAATATTATCTTAAATCACTAGCAAGAAGAATACAAGTATGTTTGATATCATAGCTTACCCTACACAGTCCACCTCTTCAGGATAATTTAGCAAGCGGAGCACCTGTTCCAGGTTCCGTAAGCTTCTTTTTAAGTCACCTGTTGCCATTATTTAATATCAGATTCAGCTCCACCTCTTAAAATAGTCTAATTTTTCACCTAAAAATAGAAATTCATGAAATACTGGTTAACTGTGTATTTTTGAAGCTTTTTGATTCTATTTTGTTCATATCTCCTATTGGCACTTACCATATTTACCTTACCCTAGATCTTTTTTCCCCTAGCTTCTTCTTTACTATTCAAGTTCTACTTTGTAACAACTATAAATTCCTGAATACAGGATAAGTGTCTCCCCTACCCTCCTATATGTTTTCCTTCCAAAAAATAAGTTTGCCTTATATTCATGTTCTTATAATGTATCTTATTTGACATTTTCCCAAATACTTTTTTTTTGAAGAATAAAGCATCATTTGAGAAGGCACATCAACTTGGAATAACATCCATCAATGACTCTTTTGGATGTTTACAGAGGCTACATAACACAATCAATAAAAAATGGATCAGCCTGTAATCCCAGTACTTTGGGAGGTCCACAGAGGCAAATCACGAGGTCAGGAATTCAAGACTCAGCCTGGCCAGCATCATGAAACCCCACCTCTACTAAAAATACAAAAAATTAGCCAGGCATGGTGGCATTTGCCTGTAATCTCAACTACGTGGGAGGCTGAGGCAGAAGATTACTTGAACCTGGGAGGCGGAGGTTGCAGGGAGCCGAGATCACACTACTTCACTCCAGCGTGGGTGACAGAATGAGATTCCATCTCAAAAAAAAAAAAAAAAAAAGAGATACATAAATTTAGCACAGATTTAATCAGAGTCACAGGGCTCTGATCTCACATAGTTGCCAAAAAGATAGCTTTCCTGAAAACTAAAACCACATTTTACAAATGCAGGGTTCACTTGGATAAATATGACAGATTAAATGCATATTACCTTCATTTCCATTTTCTAAAGACCACTAACATGAAAGTAAATAATTAAAAATCAGATATACCCACCAGGACAAAAAGAACTAGAGATTTCACATGAGAAAAGAGGTATCAACCAAATTTTGAAAAATGAAAGGCAAATGAATAACCAACCTAGCAGAGCAGAGACAAGCCAATGCCATCTGCCTATTCAGGAGGAAACCAACTGAAGCAAGATATGTTCACAAATCAGGTACAGTTTATACTTCTGAAAACAGAGGCGTAAGTCCAGGGGGCTAAAATAAGAATGATTATTTGAAAGTCTACATAAGCAGCAGCTAACCCTAGAATTTATTTTCCCTCCGCGTCCTATACCTACACACATAATTTGTTCAGCAAGGCAACTATCTCTCACCTTCCCTGGAAAGAGAAAAGAGCTTTACAATCTAAAGAAATTGAATCAAAGAAGCACCGAATTTGGAAACATCAGGCAAGGCAAACGGCATGGAATGAAGTGCTTGAAGGCAGAAAGAAGTATTAATGAAAACACACACACACACACACACAGAGAGAGAGAGAGAGAGAGAGAGAGAGAGAGAGAGAAAGAGAGAAAGAGAGAGAGAGAGAGAATAAAAAAGTTTCTTCCTACATCTCAGCTTCAAGAAGCTGTTGAGTTAGGCTTATGTCTTCCATGACAACAGACTATCAAGTTCTATGCTAGAGAACTGGAGAAAAAAATGTCATCACATTTCTGACATCTGAGGAAAATCCCCATTCAAAAGGACAGGGTCTTGCCCAATAAACCTGCAGCAAACTCATCATTGATAAGCCCTAGCCAGGTACCTTTTTTTCTTAGAGAAACTGAATATATGCCCAAAGATCAATAACTTTTAGAGAGAAGCTTTCAGTATGAAAAGTATATATAAATACCTTAAACAAAATAAGCAGAGAAGAAAAATTTCTTCTCTGGAAATAGATATAATACAAAGAAAAAAGTTCAAAATAAAGCTTTCTATTCTCAATGAGATTAGAAAAAAAAAAATTAAAACCTAAAACAAGAAAAGAAGGATATAATAAATATTAAGCTTGTGAGAATATAAAATCAGCCAGAGACTGTTAAAGTGGACCAAAAATAAGACCTAACTACATGTTGTCTATAAGAAACCCATTTTGCTTAATAAGGAAAGTTATTAGGGATATAGGGGAATTATGTAAAGATAAAAGAGTTAATTCTCCAAGAAAACATACCAATCTTTAATGTGTATGCACCTAACAATACAACATCAAGAAACATGAAACAAAAACTGACAGAATCACAGGAGAAATATACAAATCCCCTATTTTATTTAGTTGTAGACTTCAACATTCCTCTATCACAAATAGATCCAGCAGGCAAAAAAATAAATAAATAAATAAATCAGTAAGGATATACAATATCATCGATCACCTGCATATAATGAATATTTACAGACTACTTCATGAAACAATAATAGAATACATATTCTTCTCAATCTCACATGGAACATCCACCAAGAGAGACTACCTTTGGGAGTCATAAGGCATACCTTAACACACTTTTAAAAAGTAGAAATCATACAATGTCTGCTTTTAGACAACAATAGAATTTAAATAGAAATCAACAATAGAACTTAAAATAACAGTAAAAATAAAAATTTAAATAAGAGTTAGAAGACAAGTTTGAGGAGATAATTATAGTTACATATGGATGACAAGATACAAAAATGGAATAGGAATTATAAGAACATTAGAGGACCAAACCAAAAGGTCCAACATCTCATGAACAAGAATTCTAAAAAAAATATCAGAAAAAATGAGGGAGGAAATTGTAAAATTAACTAAAAATTAAAAAAAAAAAATTGTAAAATTAAATATAAAGTCTCTCAAGACTGAATGTCTTGAGACATTGAAAGATTGAAAGAACACAATGAGTGATCAGCACAAGAAGTAAAACAAAACGCACCCCAAGATATATCACTGTGACATTGCATAAGGTAAAAAAGAAGTTAAAAATGTCTAACAAGGCAACAAAAAATCACATAGGAAGAATATCAAAATAACATCAAACTTTCAATAGCAATCTTAGAAGCTAAAGGATAAAGAAAACTTATCTTCACAATCCTGAGAGGAATTACTTGTAATCTTGAATTCCATACTCAGCCAAGGTATCAAATACCACACCCAGCAGATATACTCTAGGAATGTAGGGGGTTAGCACAACATTCTAAAAATCAATGTAAGCCACATTAGCAGGTCAAAGAAGGCAAATCATGTATTATCAATGGATGCAGAAAAACCACTTGAAAAAAATCTAACACCCACCCATAATAAAAACTCTCAGCAAACTAGGAATACAGGGAAACTCCCTCAAATTCATTGAGAAGATACCTAGTAAACAAACAATACAATTTAAAAAATAGACAAAAGATGTTAACAGATATCTCACTAAAGAGAATATATGGATTGCAAATAATACGAAAAGATGCTCGAAATCATTTATCATTAAAGATTTGCAAATTAAGACAAAATACCACCACACACCTATTAGAATGGCTATAAAGCCTACAAAAAACTAACAGCTAACACCACACTTACAGCTGAGAAACTGTATACTTCCCCCAAAAACCGGGACTAACACAAGGATGTCCTATCTCACTACTCCTATAAAACACTTTCCCAGAAGTCCTAGCCAGTGAAATGAGGCAAGTAAAGGAAATAAAATAGCTTAGAAAGAAAAAATAAAATGGTCTTTGTTTGCAAAAGACATGATTTTTTATGTAGGAAATGCTAAAGAGTCAACAAAAGAAACCTTGAAACTAAAAAGTAAGTATAGCAAAGTCAAAGTATATAAGGTTAATACATAAAAGTCAAATGTTTTCTGACATATGGGCAATAAATAATTAGAATGAAATATAAAATTAAAATACCATTATCATAGCATGAAAAATACTTTTAAGTCTATGAAAATACATACATGATCTGTATGTTACAAACTACAAAACTATAAAAGAAATCAGAGAAGGTTATGGCTAGAACAGGATAATGGAATAGGACCTCCCCAGCCCTTGTCTTTCAAAGAAACACCAATTTCGCAACCATCTATGTATAAAAGTGCCCTGATCGGTTCAAGTAGGATGCTGTGACATCCTTCTGGAGCCCAAGACCGATAGAAGCTACTTTGAGAACACAGAATCATGCCCCAGTGGCAAGCATGTGACCTGAGAACTGGCTCCAGATCCAGCAGCAGCCTCACTGGCTTGTGGGCTCCAACCCAGCTGTCCAAGGTCTAATAGGAAGTCTTGTTTGTCTAGTGACCCAGAAGGAACCACACCCACCCAATCCCCAGTAACAGGCCCACAATCCACAGACCTGATTATGAACATGTAAGCAGACCCACAACCTGGTTCCACCTAAGTGACTAAACAGTGGTTTAGAAGTCAGTCTCATCATGGGACCAGCCGGGGAAGATCTTTACTGAAATCAGTCTGTGAAGTATAGAAGTAGTAATTGCTCCTTCAAATGCACAGGCACCACTGAAAGACTCAAAGGATTATGAGTAAATATAACATGCCAAAAGAAACCAATAATGTTACAGAAACTGACTACGACAAGATTAAGATGCATGAACTGCTTGACAAAGAATTCAAATAATCATCTTAAAGAAGCTCAATGAGCTACAAAAAAAAAAAAAAAACAGGAAACAAAAAAGAACCAAACAGAAATCCTAGAGCTGAAGAATACAATGACTAAACTGAAAAAATCAGTAGAAGGCTTCAACAACAGACTCAAACAAGCAGAGGAAAGAATCAGCAAACAGGAACACCAGTCACATGAAAGTATGCAATTATAGGAAGAAATATAAAAAAGAATAAAAAGAGAAATGAAGTAATTCTACAGGACTTATGGTACACCACTAAGTAAGTTAATAAACACATTATAAAAGTTCCAGAAGGCAGACAGAAAGAGGCAGAAAGCACATTTAGATTATAGCTGAAAACTTCCCAAATCTAGGGAGGAAAATGGACATCCAGACTCATGAAGCCCAAAGTTCCCAAGTAGGTTGAAGCCAAAGGGGTGTGCACTAATACACACTATAATGAATTTGTCAAAATTCAAAGACAGAGAAAAAATTTTGACAGCAGCAAAAGAAAACTTATTACATACATATAATGGAGCCCCCATAAAGGTATTGGTGAATTTCTAAGCAGACCATTGCAGGGAAGGAGAGAGTGGAATCACATATTCAACATACTGAAAGTAAAAAAAGAAACCTGTCAATCAAAAATAATTACCTGAAAAAAACAGTCCTTCAAGAATGAAGGAAATAGCCACGCATGGTGGCTCACACCTGTAATATCAGCACTTGTGGAGGCTGAGGTGGGCAGATCGTTTGAGCTCAGGAGTTCAAAACCACCCTGCGAAACATGGCAAAATCCTGTCTCTACAAAAAATACAAAAATTAGCCAGTCATGGTGGTGTATGCCTCTAGTCCCAGCTACTTGGGAGGCTGTGGTGGGAGGCTGGCTTGAGCCCAGGAGGTTGAGGTTGCAATGAGCTGAGATCATGCCACTGCACTCCAGCCTAAGCAACAAAGCCAGGCTTGAAAAAAAAAAAAAAAAAAAAAATAAAGGAAACATAAAGACTTTCTCAGATTAAGAATCTGAGGGAGTCTGTCACTTTTAGACATGCAACAGGAAATGCTAACAGGAATTCTTCAAGTTAACAGAAAAGACACTAAATACACAGTATGAAAGCGCATGAAAGTATACATCTCGCTGCTAAAAATAAACATGAAAACAAGCATAGAATACTGCAATACTGAAATTTGTGGCAAGTAAATCTCATTGAACAATAGTACACAAATTAAAAGACATAAGTAGTATGAATAACTATAACAACCACAGAAATTTGTTAATAGAAACAATATAGAAAGAAGTAAAATCTGAAATCAATTACATATATTGGTGAGGAGGAAGGGGGAGGAGTTTAGAGATTCTGAATGTAAATGAAGCTAAGTTCTTACTAGCTTAAAAAAGCCTGCTATAACCACATATTTGATGCAAGCCCCATGGTAACCAAAATAAAAAGTATAGTAAATAAATAAAAAAGAAAGAAAAAAAATCAAAGTATTCCACTACAATCATCAAATCACAGACGACAAACGAGAAAAACAAGAGAAACAGAAAGCAAATAGAAAACAATGAATAAAATGGAAAGAGTAAGTCCTTAATTATTAAAAATTATTAAATTATTAAATTTTTAACAATTAAGGGCTCTCCACTTGAAAGACATGGAATGGCTAAAAGGATAATAAGAACAACACCCAACTATATGCTGTCTATAAGAGACTTAACATTTAAGGACACATAGGTTGAAAGTGAAGGGATTGAGAAAGATATTCCATGCAAACCATAACCAAAAGAGAGCAGGGTGGCTATCCATACTTATATCAGACAAAATAGACTTTAAGTCAAAAACCGTCAAAAGAGACAAAGAAGGCATTATATAATAATCAAAAGGTCAATTCAACAGAAAGATATAACAACTAAAAATACATATGCACCCATATCAAAGCACCTTAAAATATACAGCAAACACTGGTAGATTTGAAGGGAAAAATAGATATCAATATAATATGGAAGGAGAATTTGATACATGACTTTCTATACTATACAGGTCATCTGGACAGAACACCAAAAAGGAAATTGCAAACTATACAACACTATAGACCAAACAGACTTAACACGCATATGCAGAACATGAGACCCAATGATAGCAGAATAATCATTCTTCTCAAAAGCACATGAAACGTTCTCTATAATTGATCACAGCCTAGGTCACAAAACAAGTTCTAACAAATTTAAGAAGACTAAACACATTCTAAGTATTTGGTCTGATCACAATGGAATGAAACTAGAAATCAAAAATAGAAATGAAATGGGAAAATTCACAAATACAGGAAAATAAAATGCTAATTAAAATTTACTAACTAATAATATTAACATACTATTAAATAATACTGGATCAAAGAATAAATCAAAACAGAAATTATAAAATATCTCAAGACAAACAACAATAAAAACACAGCATACCCAAATGTATAGGATGCAGTAAAAGTAGAATAAGGTAAAAGTTTACAGCAATCAATGGATTAAGAAGAAAGAGGCTGGGCAAGGTGGCTCAAGCTTGTAATCCCAGCACTTTGGGAGGCTAAGGCAGCGGATCACAAGGTCAAGAGATCAAGACTATCCTGGCCAACATGGTGAACCCTTATCTCTACTAAAAATACAAAAATTAGCTGAGCGTGGTAGCGCACGCCTGTAGTCCCAGCTTCTCGGAGGCTGAGGCAGAAGAATCGCTTGAACCCAGGAGGCGGGAGGCAGAGGTTGCAGTAAGCTGAGATCGCGCCACTGAACTCCAGCCTGGTGACAAAGCAAAACTCCATCTAAAAAAAAAAAAGACCTCAATAAAGAAGACAGATGTCAATAAACAACCTAACATTACACCTCAAAAACTAGTAAAAGAAGACCAAACTAAATCCAAAATTAAAAGGAAGAAAATAATAAAGATTAGATCAGAAATAAAAGAAATAGAGAATTGAAAAACAATATTATGGGCATAATAGTCCAAGGGGGACAAAAAAGTAAAACAATTTTAAAAATTGACAAACCGTAAAGTTCATTTTCTGAAAAGACAAACTAAACCAACAAATCCTTGGCTAGACTTTAAAAATAGAAGAAAGACTTAAGTAAAATCAGAAATGAAAGAGGAGACATTACAACTGATCCCACAGATATAAAAAATATCCTAAGGGACTATTATGAACAATCATATGCCATCAAATTGGACAATCTAGAAAAAAATAAAGTCCTAGTAAAATATAGCTTACCAAGACTGAATCAAGAAGAAATAGAATGCCTGAATAGACAAAGAACAAAACAGGAGACTGAAGGAAAAATTTAAAAATTCCCAACAAAGAAAAGCCAAGAGGCAGATAAATTCTAGCAAATATTTAAAGAAATACAAAACCTTTTTAAACATATCTAAAAAAAAAATTAAAAAAGGGGGAACACTTCCAAAGTCATTCTGAGGCCTGCATCACCCCAATTACAAAGCCAGAAAAAGACACAAGAAAACTACAGTCTAATACATTTGATGAATATAGACGCAAAAATCTTCAATGAAATGTTAGCAAAACAAACGCAACAGCACCTTCAACCAATCATACACCACGACCAAGCAGGGTTTATGCTTATGAATCAAGGATGATTCAACATATGAAAACCAACCAATTTGATATGCTGCATTAATAGAATGAAGGCTAAAACTCATATGGGCATCTCCACAGATGCAGAAAAAGCACTTGACAAAATTCAAAACCCTTTCCTGATTAAAAAAAATCTCAACAAATTAGGTATAGAGGAACCTTATAACAAATTAGATAAAGGATGAACAACAAAATTAAGTCCATTTATGAGAAGCCCACAGCTAACATACTTAAAGGTAAAAAGCTGAAACCTTTCCTTGCATGATCAGGAACAGGCAAGTTTGCCTACTTTAGCCTCTCCTATTTGGTGTAGTATTTTTAAGCCCTAGCAAGAGTAATTAGGTAAGACAAAGAAATTAAAAACATCCAAATCAAAAGAGAAGAGGTAAAATATCTGTTTGCAGATGACATCATCTAATATGTAGAAAACCGTAGGGACTCCACCAAAAATGTGAGAATAAGCAAACTCAGCCTTAAACGAGGCGGAAATCCTGCCATTTGCAACCACATGGATGAACCTGAAAGACATTATGCTAGGTGAAATGAGCTAGCCACAAAAAGTCAAATACTGTTTTATCTCAATATATGTGAAATCGAAAATAGTGAAACACGTATAAGCGGAGAATAGAATGGTGGTTGTAAGCGAAGATGGGGAGAACAAAATGGGAGGCGTTGTTCAAAGGGCACAAAGTTTCAGTTATGCAAAATAAATAAGATCTAGAGGTACAACCCAGTGCCTGTGGTTAGCAATACTGTATTGTATTCTTAAAATTTTTGTTAAGAAGTTAGATCTAATGTTAAGTGCTCTTATCACAAAAAGTGAAAAAAAGAGGGGTAGAAGAAAACTTTTCAGGTGATGGCACTGATTTCTTGTAATAATGGTTTCATGGTTTCACAATCTCTGCTTATCTCCAAACAGAAATTGTATACATTAAATGTCTATAGCTTTCTGTATGTCAATCGCACCTCAATAAAGAGGTCAGAAAATGAAGCAACGCCAAATCCGTGTACACATACCTCTAAAAATAGTCCTTTTGTATATAAAGCACCCCAAATTTTCCTCTTCTGAGTTGTGCTGTCTACTTGATTAAGGCCCTGGACCACAAAATCCAAGTTTTCACTTTTCACCAAAATTTTCCCCTTCTCACACGCACATTTTTGTCCTTCAATTATGCAAGAGAATTTCAGATTTACCCTTAAATACTGGTGTCATCAGCTCTACCTAATTCATTTCATCTTCTTTCTTTCAAGAGTCTACCATAGCCGTTAAGTCCAGAGTAAAAGAGAATAACAATTTCAATATTAACTTTATACAGTGAAGGAAAAATCTGTAGTCTTCAATAAAGGTGGAGAAATATTTGAAAAGCTGAGGAAATGCATGCAAGAAAAACATGAACTGCTGTCCTGTCTTCCCTATAGTCAGAAGCCGGATAGATCCTCATCTCAGAGGATCCGATAGGAACCAGTAAGTCCACAACCTTCCAGCCCTAAGTCACAACCTAATTCTGACAGGAAGAGCTGCCACGATACTTCCCACTTCGCTGTGACTAAAACTATATCGTAATTGGGTATGTAAGCAAGGCTCCCCTCCCGCCACTTGATTTAAAAGAATGAAAAGGCGGACCTGGTCATTCGTCCCCGCCCGGGGTCTCTGTAAGAGCGGCGGAGAGAGGCGACCTCTGCCCAATAAAGAGTGCAGCCTTGGCGGCTCCTCGGGGCTCACGCGGTATCCACCAGTCAAGAAGCGGGTTTCAAAGGCCCAGCACGACAGGGAGAGGAGAAGGGAGCATATGCAACCACAGTCACCATAGTCTAGCCTCCCGCAACAAGCCGCAACTACTTGGCGCCTGCGCCCAGACGCGCTTCTCGCGCCGACCGTTTGTATTTAGAACCGTGGGTTCCCACCCGCCACGCACCGCGGCGAGACCTTCCAAGCAAAGGGCTTCTTGAGCTCCAGGATTTCTAGCTGCAGATTCCACAGATCCGCGTTTGTCAAGACTCCTGTGGAGAATGACTCTGCGGAGAGCCTCCTTAATGGCCAGTCCAATTCTAACTGGCAGCTTAGAAGTTTTTCTGATCTTGATGGTCAGAGTGGCTCGGGCTACGAAGTGAGAAACAAGGAATCTATAGCGAATCGTAAACAACGGAGATAAAAATGCGTCTGTGTTAAGAGTCGGAAACTAACGTCACTTCCGGCAACAATAGGAAACGTCAGAACTCGGACAGTCGGCAGTTCTGGCTCCTCGGTCTAGAGGTGCCTTGAGTTCTGAGGGTTGTGGTGCTGTTTCTCGTACTCTCATCGCGGTCACCTCCACTGGTGTAGACAAGTAAAGTTTGAACCGGCTTCTCCATGGCCTGGGCACCAGTTCCCGGCTGAGCCATTTTCTTTTTGGCTAAAAGCCCCCGCCCAGAGGCCGATTCGTCGCGGCGGCGGTGGAGATCGCAGGTCGCTCAGGTACAGGCGTCAACCTACATATTTCAGATCTCTTGCCTCTTTTCCCTGTTCACCTTCACTTTTCTCGAAAATAAATACAATCTAGTGCTTGCCATTTGACCGAAACTGGCCGACCAGCAAGAGCCGACCAGCAAGAGTTTGTGGCCAATGACAGTGCAAAGCATGTTGAGTGACAGCGGTGGTGGCTCATTAAAGTGAGGAATCAGTGTCAAGAGGCGGGACTGAGCGTGCTCTGTTTCTAGGCCATTGGGTTGTAGGTCGGTTTAGGACTCCAAGTAGTAATCCAGCGTCATTATGAAGTAAAGCTGAGGAATGGCAAGGGTTACGTTCTTCAGGTCCAAGTGTTGGTTTTCGGGTACAGTGTTATTTTGATTCCTAGGCACGGTTTTTGGTTCTTTAGCACTTTCCAGTAGTATGAATGCAAACCCAAGTATAGTTAGGATCACGATGGATTGCTAGCTGCTACAGTAGTCAAACTTCAGTTATAAAACTTGGCAAACTTGTCTTTTATTTGTTTCTCAGTGACTGGGTTCTAATCTCTTACATAGTAGGTTCTCAATGAATAATACTTATTTGGTAAAATTACATAAATGGATCTCAGTCCTCAGTCATTTAATTTTTTTTTAGTTTTATTTTAGGTTCTGTATGAATTTACTAATAAAATAATTGATTCTACTTGTTTTACAAGTAAAATATTCATTTTTAAGGGTCCTAGGTGTCTCCTCAAATGAATATATCGTGATTTTTATTACTGCAAAGTGAAGACAATTTATGTTTTCTAGTTCAGCTTTCTTTTCCCCTCCTTTAAAGTTTGAAGTAATATATTTCTGAGGTAGGAGCTCTATACATACTCCTCAACTCCTCTATACAACCCCTCACAAAAATGATATACAAAATAGGGTAGGTTTCAGAATTCAGAATAATTTTTTTTTTTTCGTATTAGGTCAGAAATTTGTCGTTAGCCAATTAACCTGACAATATGTCTCATGAGGTACTTCATTAGTTGTCTATTGCTGGGTAACAGATTACCCCCAAATTTACCCCAGCTTAAAACAGCAAACATTATCAGTTTCTGTATGTCAGGAATTAGGATGCAGTGTAACTTCATTTATTAATAAGTTACAGCCGATTAATGTTACTTGGGGCCCTCGGATCAATTGAAATACTTCCATCCACAAAATATTGTATTATAATAACTTCTAGATAAGCCAAAACGTTGATCATAATTTATTATATATGATCAGTTTAATGGGGAATGTTTTGTGTGTTTACTGTTGCTAGGTTAAAAGATATTTCCCTTATTTTACAATATGAAAACATGGAATTACCAAGTCTTTAATCACGGTGTGTTGAAATTTGTTATTCAGACTTATAACTTTGGTTCATTATTTAAACAACTGATAATGTACAAGTAATTTTTTCTGTCTTGATTGAAATTTGGAAACTGACTCTATTCCATTGACTGACTCATGATAATGCATCAAAATTATTAATACTGAAGTTTAAGAATTATGCATTTAACTCGTGTTTCTTTTTCTTGAATTATTTTACATAAATAACATTTTTAAACAATTTAAATGAAATACATCTATTTCTGGAAATCTGTGTTCACTATTTCTTTTTAATTTCTCTTGCATGGTTTTGTTTTTCTGACAAATTTCTTGACATAGCTCTCTAGTAAACTAAAACATCTTTGGCTGACTTGAATAAATTTATATCATATTTGGGGTAAGTACTTTTTTTTGAGACAGAGTTTTACTCAGTTGCTCAGGCTGGAGTGAAGCGTGATCAAGACTCACTGCAGCCTTGACCAAAATTTTAGGTTCAAGCAATTCTCCCTCTCACCTCAGCCTTCGAAGTACCTGGGACCACCGGCACGTGCCATCACGTGTGGTTAATTTTTTAAATTTTTCTGCTGACTGTGCTGCCCAGGCTGGTCTTGAAGTCCTGAGCTTAAGTGATCCTCCCTCCTCAGCCTCCCAAGGTTCTGGAATTGTAGATGTGAGTCACTGTGCTGGGTCTGGGGCAAATACTTTGTAGCAATATAGAGATTAAAAATATTTGTGGTTTGGAGTTTAGGCAACAGCTTTAGGGAGTTTAACTCTGTAGTCAGCAGTTTGTATGTTTTTCCAGAACAGATTGCTTAGGATTCAAAAGCTATCTGAATGAAGGAACCAGATTTTAGCGAGTAAGTCAAGCCTGGAGAGACCCTATATGGAGTAGTGATTTGTGGAAGTCATGAATATAGGGAAAAAAGAGAAGGAAAGGGCAGATGGTAAATACACATACACACACACCATCATCTCTTCATTTTATTGATTTATTTTTCATTTTTCCCTCATTTTTATAGAATCATATAATTATTTTTTTCAATTTTTAAATTGTAGTAAAATATACATAACATAAAATTTACCATCTTAACCATTCTAAGTGTACAGTTAATATTGCGCCACTATCACCACCATCTAGCTTCATTACTCTTTTGATCTTGTCAAACTGAAACTCTATACCTATTAAACAGTAACTCCTCTCCCCCATTCCCAGGCCTTCGCAATCACCATTCTACTTTTTGTTTCTGGCTTTGAGTACTCTTAGTACCTCATATAAATGGGCTTATCCAGTATTTGACTTTTTTTGACTGGCTTATTTAACTTGGCATAATCTCCTCAAGGTTCATCTCTGTTGTAGCATATGCAAGAATTTCTTTTCTTTTTAAGGCTACATAATATTCCATTATGTATGTAGACCACATTTTGCTTATCCATTCATCTGTTAATGGAGACTTGGGTTGCCTCCGTGTTTTAGCTGCTGTGAATAATGCTGCTATGAACAAGGGTGTACAAATATCTTTTCCAGACCCTGCTTTCAGTTCTTTTGGGTATATACATGAAAGTGAAATTGCTGGATCACATGGTAATTCTGTTTTTATTTTTAGGAAGCTCCATATTGTTTCTACAGAGGCTGTACCATATTACATTCACATTAACAGTACATAAGGGTTTCAGTTCCTCCACATCAATTTTTTTCAATAGTAGCTATCTTAATGGATATAAGGTGGTATCTCATTGAACTTTGGTTTGTCTTTCCCTAATGATTAGTGATGTTGAGTGTATTTTCCTGTGCTTATTGGACATTTGTATATTTTCTGTGGAAAAATGTCTTTTCAAGTCCTTTACCCATTTTTTAATTATGTTTTTGTTGTTGAGTTATGAGTTATCTGTAAATTATTGGTATCAGATTTTACCAGATACATGATTTGCAAATATTTTCTCTCATTCTGTGGGTTGCCTTTTTACTCTGTTGATACTGTCTTTTGACACACAATTTTTTTTTTTTTTTAATTTTCATGATGTTCAGTTGGTCTGTTTCCTCTTTTGTTGCTTGTGCCTTTGGAAATCATTGCCAAATTCAGTGTTGTAAGCCTTTTGGCCTGTTTTTTCTTCTAAGAGTATTATTGTTTTATGTCTTAGATTTAAGTCTTTGAACTATTTTGAGTTAATTTTCATGTATATTGTTGGGTAAGGTTCCAACCTCATTATTTTGAATGTGGTTGTTTTCTCAGCACCGTTTGTTGAAAAGACTGCCCTTTCCCCCATTAAATCATCTTGACACCCTAGTCAAAAAACTTTTGACCATATATGTGAGGGTTTACTTCTGGATTCTCTGTTCTGTTTCATTGGTCTGTTTAACTGTTTTTATGCCAATATGACACTGTTTTGATTACTGTAGCTTTGTAAAAAGTTTTGAAATCAGAAAGTGTGTTTTCCAGCTTTGTTCTTCTTTTTAAAGTTTGGTTTGACTATTAGAGGTTGAGATCCTGTGTGGATTTTAGAATTTTTTCTATTAATGGTAAAAACGTCATTGGAATTTTGACAGGCGCTGCATTGAATCTATACGTCACTTTGGGTGGTATTGCCATCCTTATAATATTAAGTCTTTCAATCCATAATCACAGGATGTGCTTCCATTTGTTTGTCCTCTTTCACTTCTTTCAGTAGTGTTTTGTAGCTTTCATTCCAGAAGCCTTTTACCTAAGTATTTTACTCTTTTCAATACTGTTGTAATCTGTATTATTTTCTTTATTTCCTTATCAGATTGTATGTTGTAATTGTATAGAAATACAACTTATTTCTGTGTCTTGATTTTGTATCTTTCTACTTTGCTGAATGTGTTTATTAGTTCTAAGTTTTTGGTAGAATATTTATGGTAACTACAAAGGATTTTACTGCTTTCTTTCCAATTTGCATGTCTTTTACT